TATGTACTTGACTCCACGCACTGCCATCTAAGACTTTATACACTCGACCCCGTGACGTTACATAGCTCCAATTACATAGCTCCAAAACTCATGGCTAATGATGCTTTCGGGCCACTCGTCTTCTAGTTTTTTGATCCTGCTTAAATTTTTTTGATCCGCATTCCGGGTCAGCTGCAAAGAACCCAAAAGCCCTTTGAGGTGAAAAGCGTGACTTAGTGCAACTGCTACTGAGTGCCTTGTGGCTCGAGTCAGCATTACTCCCTGCACGCCACTGAACGAAGACAGGGACTCGAAACAGTAACTCCGTTGCAAAAGGGCACCGCTGGCGGTAGCCGCGCGTATCGACCCGGCTTCGGGGCCATCTTCCTGCAGACTGGACGGCCGCCTCGGAGAAGCTGCAGGAAAATCATCGGTTTCTCCATCCAGTAAATTATTACATTATATTGTTACTATATTATATTGAATTAATATTATATGATATTATTATTATCATATAATATGGTATTAAATTATATTCTATTATAGTACTTCCGCCAAGGATGCGCAAATGCATTCATTGTTCAGGTAAGCAAGAGCCAATCCTGAACCAAACCGTCCACTCACAAAACACGGGAGTGGCCTTGCTGGCTCATTCTACGATCTGAAGTCCCAGATTGAATAATCCAAACGAAACAGATGCTCATATACTTGATGGAGGGAAGCAAACACATGCACTCTTGTGCCTTCTTACCTGGTTTACTTCCCTAGATTCCTAGATGAAACACTATGTAGGAGGGTATAATCAAGAATGCAGCACCATCATTTCAGTCACGTCAGCACAAAACCCCAAACCTGCAGACCAAACTTCTGAACAGTACAGATCACATGCGTGAGGACTTGCATCAGTGCTCCATGTCCAGAATGAAAAAGAGCGAGTGCTTGTGCCCGTATTTCGTGGAAACACGTGCCCAGAACCCTCGTTAGAGAGGAAACTTCGATTAAAAAAAGCACTACTGGGCTGCCAGAATCAAACGAGGGAGGACTTTGGGACCAAGCTGATACAGGCTCCCCACATTCATCTGCTCGAGTGCGCTTCGGAACCCTCCTATTTCTAGTCCCTTGCCCATCTGTCACCTCGCGGAACTTCAAGGTTACATGCGGAAGACCTAGAGCGACTACATCTACACATCTACCTGCGTCGAGCATAAGACAGAACTATGCAACAGCATCAGCAACAATCGGCGTTGCTGGGAGTGCTAGCCGGAACAACAGAAGCAAAAGCAGGGAGCAGTTCTAGCAACATGGGCAATCTGACCGATTCCAGATATGATTCCAACTGCAAGGGTAAGCAACCAACCTCATGATGCGACCAGTAGTAGTGACGGCAACAATGGCGACCCTTGAACTCACACAAGCAAAACCAGCCTCTGTGAAACAACTACCCACAAAAAATCACGTCCTCAATTTTACCAGAAAACCTGCGGGAGCTTGTCATATCAAGGTACTGTAGCAGCGTTTGCAATCATTAGCAATGCGACCATGGACTAGGCCAGGACTGGGCCAGGACGCCAGCTCTGTCTGCTCGCGGGGCAGCTGCCGGTTCTCGCACTTGTTGGTGTTGTGCAGCTCCGGCAAGCCCTGTCAACCAGAACTCATTTCTTTGGCAGCAGACACGGCAAGATTTTCCAGTACAAACTGCTGGCATCCAAGCCACGCTGGCAGCCAGTGCGGCAAGTCAAGCGGAACGATTGTTTGATGTAAGTTCGGTGACTATGCACAGAGGTCCTGAATGTCGCAAAACACACCTGCTCAAACTCTGCATCCACCCTTCCGTCCACTTCATGCAACTGAAATCAGCACAGTTCTGATGCTCTCAGAGCCGAAGCCTTAACTCTTTCCGCAGACGTTCGACCTCGTCCTCCCGGATATCAAGGATTTCAGGTTAAAGGCCTTTCGGGTGAGGATGCTGTTGGCTGCCAAAGTTTATCTTATCATGCCTGGCACGGTTCAGTCTGTTGCATTGGTTTGGCTTCTCGGAAATTCATAGTGTGACCTGAACTTTTGTTGGGTTCGGTGTCCTCAGCCTCCTGTCTCTTGCGCCGCTCGGCTTCCACCTTCGAAGATTTCCGGGCTCAGACTGAACTCATGCACGGAGCGGAAGGCATCGCCTCATCCGAGACGTCGAGGCAAGATTCCAGCTCGGGAAGTGCGAGAATAGCCTGCGGAAGTTGTGAGAATTCCGTCCTTGGAGCTAGCCAGCTGCACAGTACAGCACAGTTCATGCCACCAAGAAGTGCAGCCTCAGCTGGTGATCCAGGTGTGGGCTTGGACTTGTGCGCACGGAGGGAAATCCCGGCCTCAGACCGGAGACATGAACCTTGTAAGGCTGCAACGCGTAAGACGATTACTGTGCTGGGGTTGTGGCCGGCTTCAAGTTCCAAACGTCTGCCTGGTGTGCTAAAGCCTCCCGCTGCATCTCGTGAGCCTGAGGCAGACACAATGCGACGGCCCTCAGACACAGAGCTACAGTCTTATCCAAAGATCAGGCAAAAGCAGCGTTTGGTGTTGCGGATGTTGCAATCAAGCCGCTGTCAAGATCTCCTTGTCCAAGTCCTTCGGCGCCTCTGCCAATATGGACAGTTCAAGGCTATCAGTCACCGTCACCTCTGTTGATGCCGGTGTGCCTTGCCACGTCGACGGACTGGAGGGCCAGGCTGGTGCACGACTTCCTTGACAAGGCTCTGTGCAGAGAAGCTAGCTGAGACTGCTGCTGACTGCAACAAGTTCGTGGCGAATGCGGACAGTTCGACAAAGCAACATGTGCAATGCACGCCAAGCCACCCAGCGGTATGGACCGGGTGACGCAATATGTGCTGGACCTGACCGGCTGAATGGACCAAGCTCTGCCGTTGCACGTTGCTTCCAACCTCGGACCAGAGCTGGTGCACTGTTCATTTCCCCATCCAAAGAAACTTCTCTGTCATGCCTTTTCTACCGACAAGCTTGCCTCAACTGAGCTGCGAACACAGCTGATCTTGAATGGGGCTGACCCGGGTAGGGCCCACCTTTTCAGGCAAAACACTTGATCAAACGGGATGCGTTCGGGACTCACTATCTTGTTGTAACCAATTCAAAAAATCGCAGTGAGCCTGAAATGTGGCTTCCCTGTAGAAGGACATGTGTTCGCTGCGGCGCTAAACGCACTCCATGGCGAGAAGCATTGCAGGTTCAACGGTTGGGCTGCAAGTCCTTCGCAAGCAAAACCGATGTTGGTGTTGCTGTTTTGGTGTGTGGATGGCTGAGAATGGAAGTAGTGAGTGGTTGTGTCTCCACTGCAACCACGACATGGGTAACATCAGCATCCAGTGACAGTTTCTTATGCTGTCTTTGGACCAATGTTGCCTTGCGATGAAGTTCTCGAGCCTGGCTTGCAAAACATCCAAAAGAAATCATACACGTGCTGTCGGAACATTGCATCAAATTTTAGCGTTGCTTGCAAACTTTCTTTGGGTGGCAACATTTCGGTGGCAA